CTCAACAAGCTGTGGGACAAGCTCAACACAGAGAGCTTGAGGTAGAATATGTTTACTTCTGTCACTTATGTGTGTTTTTTATAAATTGCAAACAGGGACAAGGGTGGCAGCCCTTTATTTGTCTTCCTTCTTTGCCTGTTTTCGGTTTTCCAGCTCATTCCTCGTTCATGTTTCAGTCAGTTTGCTTGTTGTTGTTAAGCTTATATCGGCAATTCTAGCGTATTTCGGGTCTTGGCGGGTTTTCTGTGGGCGACTATATGTTGTTAACGTGGGTGGCATGCATATTTTTTTATCTCGTGGATACAGGGAATGTTTATTAGCGGCTGGGTTATTTTTTTTTGTTCAGAAATTGTTATTTAGGATCATGCAACAGCTGGAGGGGGCAGAGGCGTACCGCTGGTATTTGTTTGATGTTTCTATAGAATGTCAAAGGTGATAATTTACCAAAGCAAAACAATAGCTGCGAAATGGTGTCAAACCTCACCTTTGGGTGACAAAAAAAAATATTATTATGCAAGGCAATGGGTGAGTGTTCACCAGAAGAAAAAAATTTATTATGGAAAAGGCAATGGGGTGAGTGTTCACCAGGAAAAATTATAATGGGTGAGAGTTCACCTAAAAAAAAAGAGCAATGGGGTGAGAGCTAATTCACCATGGAAAAGAGCAGTGGGGTGAGAGTTCACCATGAAAAAAGAGCAATGGGGCAAGAGTTCACCATGAAAAAAGGGTGAGAGTTTACCATGAGGAAAAGAGCAATGGGGTGAGAGTTCACCTTGAAAAGAAAAGAGCAATGGGGTGAGAGTTCACCATGGAGAAAAAAAAAGAGCAATGGGTGAGAGTTCACCATAGAGAAAAAAAAAGAGCAATGGGGTGAGAGTTCACCATGGAGAACAAAAAAAAGAGCAATGGGGTGAGAGTTCACCATAAAAAGAGATGTGAGTTCACTATATAAAGGCAATGGGGTGAGAGTTCACAATGGTAACAAAAAGAGCAATGGGGTGAGAGTTCACCATGGAATGGCACAGTTTGCTTTATTTGGGGGCTGTTGAGTGGCATGCGACGGTGATGTACATTAAGTCAATTTCCCCTTCTTATTATTCTAGACTATAAAGAAGAGCTTTGCTGACCTCCAAAAGTCACTTGATGAAGTGACAAGGCTCTCAGTGGCTACTGTAATAAGGAAGATGTTGGATTATGCAGCACGGCTGCTCTCTGAGTTCAATAAGTTTGAGGCGATAGACATCCTAGAAACCCTCCAGAATACATCCCGGGATAATCAGGATGAGAAACGTGAATTCTACCGTTTGGTGTACCAGACAGCTGGAAGGAAAGTGGACCTTCAAAAAGAGCACTTCTGGGCTCTGGTTCTACGCCTTCTAGGGGATAAAGATCACACTAAAGTGTATGAAGCAGTCGCAAAGGTGGATAAAGCAATGGGCACAGGGGACCCATGGTCTGGTTTGCCTCACCGTCGGCGTAGTAGTGACATTCTGTACAAGGGGCATGGCATGGGAAGTAGCGCTTCAGTCCAATGCTATTTTTGTGGAAAGCTCGACCACATTATGGCAAGGTGTTATGCGAGGAGGGATATGCAGCAAAGGCCCCTGGTGACCCGTGGTCGTGCTAGGGACAAAAAGTAATAAAGAGGCAAGGCGTGTTTTTTTTCTTTTGTTCCAGAAATACGAATATATTCTCTTTGTTGATTGTAGCATGTACAATAAAATGGATGTTGGAGTTGACTGTTGTTTGATTTAATGCGATGCCAGGCGTCGTGTTAGGTTAACAAAGTTCTACATGAGGGTGTTCAAGTGAGCCACTAAACGCAGCAGAGGAGTGAAATGAACATATGCTTCTATACCTACTTAAATCCAATACTCCTCTTTCTCTCCCTTTTTGGATTTGCCCTTGGTGCGAATATCCCTTTCTTTTCACCTTCCCGTATTTTACTTTGTCTGTACTCTGGTCACATAAAGTTGAGAGTTTTGAAAACGGGGTATCTCAAATCCTTCCCGGTCATACTGGATCAAAGCTGTCCTCTCTCTCTGCTAACTTGTGTGGGGTTTTTGTATATGTAAATAAGATTCCTTTTACCTCTTTTCTTTTTCCCCTTTGGGCGATATTCTGGTCATGGGAAAAAGATGATAACTTTGGCAACTTTATAGATAACGTTGATGTTTGCGCAGGTGCGATACAGTGGGTAGACATAAGGGGAAACCCTGTATCGATCAGCAGTGAGTGGACAGGAAATAACCGGTTGGGACAGAAAGCCTGTCTAATTGAAAAGGGAGAGGTCATTGGGCACATAGATGAGCTTGATAAGGATTGTTGCGTCGATGTAATGATTGACAATCTGGCGGTCAAGTATGCGTGGAATAATCAAGGGGGTGGAGGCAGCGTGGCCGAGTGGTTTAGGGCGCTGGATTTGAAATCTGGAGGTCCCTGGTTCAAATCCTCCACCCTACCGCTATCTGGATGTGTTCTCGGTAGCCTCCTCAACCGCATTGAGTAAATAGCCAACTGGTCAGCCTCCCACCAGTTGGGATTCTTAATAGTTTATGTTATATTTGAAATATTTGTTTATTTATATACAGTGTTCACAATTAACACATTAGTGCTAAATACATCGACACTTAAAAAAAGTGATTATTATTATTATTATTATTATTATTATTATTATTATTATTATTTAAGGTCGTGACTTGAACAATGCTATAAAGGCTTTGTTCTTTACCACTATGGGTTTGAACATCCTACTGCACATGTTGTATGTTCAGTCTCAAGAAAATCTGGCGAACACCCCTTCTTGCAGATTATCATCTTTAGACTAGACACTCACATCAGAGATCTGGAATGAAGTACAACTGACGTTTGGGGGTGGACAGGGCCACTCGTGATCTGATGGCCCTCAATTCCAATGCCATGTCTGATAGGCTGGGGAGTCCTCTCCCCAATTTCACGCCATACCCTTCACCTGGTTCAATAGGGGTGAACTTGTTAGGGCAAGATTTGACTCAGTTTTCTACAGTGATGCAGTGTCCATATGTTTTCCCGCCAAATGTTCTAGTCAGCCCAGTCTTGCGCTGCCTCCAGTCCTACAGGCAGTCATGTACAGTTGTGGCCCTCGATACATACCCGAGAAAGTACTGGTGGCCTCTTTTACAATGGTTTTCTAGAAAAGCGCAGAAGCTGGGAGGTGCACATGATTCACACGCCTTGTTACTACCCTCAAAGGAAGGTTGGAGCGGAGAAAATGGGATCCCAAGGCACTTGTGGGCCTTCCAGATAGTTTTTCCATTGGAGCTCTGAGCTTGTCTGTGACAGTGACAATTTTTTCAGAAACACTAGCAATATATTAAATTGAAATTGGATAAACCCCCTGGAATGTGGGGATCCCTTAGTCAGAATAAGAAATTTTTCTCCCTTCCTTGTATAATCCTGTGGTATGCAAATGCAAAGTTTGACATTTACGGAGAATAAAGAGTGTTTTGATAGATTACAAGTCTCTCGTCCTTTCTCCATTTAGGATCTCCCCATCGTTGCCAAGTTGTTTACACCTTCCGTTAGATGTCCAGTATGCTCCCATGTGAATGACCAGGATTTTAGATTCTGCCAATGTTGTGGTTATAACCGACAAATTGTGGCACTGGTTAATACTGACAAGACTGACATCGATCTGGAGAGCATTGACCAGCGCTTACGTCAACTAATGGACTTTGATCGTGCTACTAGCTATGCTAAATATAAGGACTCGCTGAGAAAGGAGTTTGAAACCTTTCTTGCTTCACTTCCTGGCCACATCACATTAGCCACTGTGACTCCGCGGGATATTTGCCGGTTGCCTGGTTTTAAAGACAACAATGGGAAAACTCAGATTCACCGCAATGGCTGTAAGTACATCGGCCAAGCTGGACGATATACTTGCGGATGTCCTATACGTCTATCTTATAAGACGGTGGACTCTTATATCGGTAAGCTACGAGCTATTCTCCATTCTATTGGACGAGACGGCGAGTGGGACAAGCGTCTAGGCCTAGGCAACCCAGCGTCTGACAAGTCGGTGAAGGATTTTTTGAGGCTGGTAACCGCGGAACAATTACAGG